GGGGGGGAGGGGGGCGTTGTTTACTTGCATACAATTCCTACATAGCTAACGGCCAATGTTTGATATTTACACTTTCAACACCTTGGTAAAAAGGTTTGTTTTCACTTTAAGAAGATGGCGATGGTGATATTTTTTATGTGATGTTAAAGGCTTCAGTGGTGGGTGTTAGATATGTAAATACATAAGAATTGTGTTGTATGTATGCAAATGCTCCCCCACCCAACAAAAGAAAAAAGAAAAAAACCATCCATGGTTTAATTCAAATCATCATTGGCTCAACGATAAACAGCTGGATTGGATATAAGATTTAGGACCACTAACCGAGTTACTAATAGTTTTGTTTGTGACAAAGAGCAGGATAGGAGATTATGTAGCCAGGTTCAGATCTATTGTGGCCTGCTTAACATGCTTTTCTTCTTGTCATTTTTTTTATCCCCACTGTGATTGTGATAAAAATAATTATAATATCATGACCATGAATAATATAAGTACCCTTATGAAATAATCAAGAGAGATGCAGCATTTAGAAACCCATTATATAATCACCCCCACTCCCTTCTCCACGTGTGCAGGGCATCTCACCTATTTCTGGAAAGATGCTGCACTCAAGTCTCAATCTTTTCTTAATTCATTTTAGGCTTTTACTCTGCCACAATTTCTTGTATTGATATTGTTTTCTCTTTGGATCATGATTATCCTTTCACATTCATTTGATTTTTAGCTGAAGAAATAGTAACCTCAGTGCCCTTATGATGAAGAGAGCTGCACCGGCTTACATCGTCTTTAAGGCTGGGGGGTGCATCTAAGGATATACTTAACTCTAAGGTTTTTTCTTGACTTATTATAATAAATTTTATTTTTTATGATTTTCCATGGTTTAGTAATCATATTTTTAGTTGCTAAAGGAAAGGGATGTCTTATTATAACTCACCAAGTATTGTAGATCAGGAAAGTTGTGGGTTTCTTCTATTTCTTCTTTTTATTTGTTGGATTATTTTCACCAAAGGAGTGTTTCCTTCAATTAGCTCATCTTTCTTTTCGGATGCTTAAACCTAGAAGAGTTTTTTTATATTGTAGTGATGGCAGAATACAAAATAAACAAACTCAGTTATTGTCCTTAACAATTATGCCATATTTACTTTCTGAGATGTGCGAGTTAATATTCATCATTAAGAAGATATATAGGATATAATATAATTTAATGATTGTTTTGAGGCATAGTTCAAAATGTTGAGAATAGATAAAGATACTGAAGCACACCTTACTTCTACACGAAGGACTTTTTTCAAGACAAAATCATATTCCCCAATCAATATATTTTTGAATTGATCTTAAACTAAAATTGCTCTCTTTAGGTGCTTATGTTAAAATTTTAATGTTATCTGTTATACAATACGACTCCGTCTATCATTAATTATCATTACAAATTGGTAAGACTGATACTATAATGGAGATACAAATTATTATCCCCATTCTTTAAATTCTTTGACAACAATATTAAACTCTAAATGCATTTATTTTATCATGGTTGACAGCTGTGCATGTATTAGAACTCGTCGTGCCAACAAACTTAATTTCTCGAACTCATCATTCATCATAAGGCACGAACAAATATGCCCCAAAGTTGCCGAGTCTTGCCCCAAAGTTGCTCAGTTTGTGAGGGTGGTATGTATATGTACATGACCCATTAACTTATTCATTCACATTTTGCCCATTATAAAAAAATGCCTAAAATAACCACAAACATGCCCCAATGGTGCTGAGTTTGTGAGGGTAGTCTGTATGCGTATGTACATGACCCATAAACTTATTCATTCACATCTTGCCCATAATAAAAAATGCCTAAAATAACCACAGAAAATTCCACAGTAGCCAAATTTTGTATCAGTATTCATTCAAGTCATTTATCCCTAGATCACGGGTATCTCTAGATTAACAAAAAGAAGGTTGGGAATTTCAAAATCTTGCTAATCTTAATTAATGAATTCTTTCCTGAAGACCGGACAATCCAAGGTTGCTCAAATTTAAAATAGATAGGGCCTACAGAGAATGCTGGCTCTTTTTCTCAAGATTTGGGACCTAACTATTTTCCACAAGTGAATCAAGATCATTGCTCTCCTTGAACACAAAATGTTTGTATTTCAAAATGGCACAGAATTTAATTATGTATACTGTATAAAATCCATTTTTATATTTCTCACCAATAAAAAATTATAATATAAAGTTAGAATAGCCTGCCTCACCATGCCCCCCTCCATATCATATCATTTCCATAACCATTCCCTGAATTTCCACTGACATTAAATGAAGGTTAAGGATTGATTCACTAAAAATTCTAGATAGTCCTGTTGCAATTGGGAATCAACTTAATAACCTCAAGATCAAGCACGTTTATATGGAAAAGCGTTACTCAATAGAAAGTGCCAACAAAGATTCATCTATAAACCTTTCAGCGTTTCTTTAAGTTGTTATCATTCGACAAAAGACCTCAAACATCCTTTTAGATCCTCCAACTATCGCACAAAGAATTTAGAATTTACTAAGGCGAGAATGAACGATGGAACGTTGAAAAACATTTTTGAATATTAACATTAGTTAACAATATCGTTCATCTAAAAAAGAGTCACTAATTCATAATACGTAAGTAAAAAATATCCCCTAACAAGTACATAAGATCATCCAGTGATATAATAAAATAAACACTACAATAAAAATAGAAAACAAAAATAGATAGACCGCTACATATCAACAATAATATCTCTCCTCATGCAAACAAACTCTTTCACATCAATCGTATCAATCTAGCAGATCTTTTTCTAAAATGGTAGTTAAACAACAAGTTAATTTTATGTAACTTAGTAAATAATTACAACTTTATTATGCATTAAATTTTTATGCAAATGTCTAACATGAATGCTCAAAAAAAATATGTTCACAAAGTAAACTTTGCATTTTTCATTTTTAATAAAATTTAATTTAATTATCTTATCAATTATATTTTTATTTTCATTTAATATTTTCTTTTATTTATTTATTTATTTTTAGAAGTCATCTTAGAAGCACCGTCAAACTATGTTTCATTTTAAACAATAAATGCACAATAATTTTCTTTTCCATTAACGTGTACAAGTACAATAGCATCACGGCTAGTACCATAGGGGGGAATTCCTAATAGACTTAATCATTTATCTTTCATTTAACTTATATTTCATTTCTTTCAATAAATAAATTTATTCAATTTTTTTTCATTTAATACAATGCAAAGATAAAATAATTAAAACTTCAAATAGTCAAATCATTTTCATTTATCTTCATTCAACTATAAGAGTGCTTTTAACATGTATAATAAGTAAAACATTTTAAGAGAATAAAAAAATTAATTTAACCGAATAACGTAATATTTACTCATCTTAAGCTTTAGGAGACTTTTGTAAATACTTATTCCTTCACTTATTTATTTTGACTATCACTTATATCCATTAAAAGTACAAGTATAAATATTTTACTTCGAGAACAATTGACTAAAATAAATAGTTAATTAATTTAGATGTTTTCTCCCGACTATATTTTAGATCAAGGTATCTTTCAAATTTAAGCACAGATTCCTAACCATAAAATTCAATGAAATTTAACTAAAACAATGTATATAAAAGCATAATCATTTACCTCTCTTTTATCTTTTCCTTTATTGCAGAATTATCAGTCTTGATCCAAATTTCTTCTATATTTCTTGAGGTTAATTAACATAAACTTACTAATATCGGAATTAACCTAAACTACAATAGAAATGTAAATTTTATTGCTTACATGCGAACGGTTACAACCAAGACTCTTACAAGCAAGAAATAAAGACAACAAACATAAAAGGGCGCCTGGGCGCCTGAGGGCGAGGGTGATGTTGTGAACACCAGTTCGACAACTCATGGAGGGGCGAAGAATAGGTGGCTTGGTATTGTGGAAAAATAGGGGAGGAAGGGAGGGGGCTGGCTAAGAGAGTAGGTTGGGAGAATGAAAACAATTGGAAGGCTGGAGGATGGTTGATTTTGAGATGAGGCAGTGGTTGGTACATGGTGTTGGAAGGCTGTTATGAGAAGGGGGCGAGGGCAATGGAAGGGGGGAGGGGAAGGATTAATAAGGAGGGGGAGAGAGGAGAGTTGCAGCAGGGGAGAGGGAAGGGCTCTAGCGGTAGTAAACAGGGAAGGGCTCCAGCAGGAAATTGCTGTAAACAACAAAAGCGATTTAGTGGCTGCAAGTGGGGGATATAAGATAGAAGTAGTGATGGGAAAGCAGTTTACAACAACAACGCTTGTAAGTAGAGGGGTTACGAGAATACGGGACAGCAGGAGACGGGTAGAAGTTGGGGCTTAGCAGAAAGGAGAGGTACGATTGCTTGAAAGGAGTAGTAGTCTAGCGGAGATAGGTTGGAGGGCAGCAGAACAAACTGTTGGGCTGCAGTTTCCGGTG